GGGGAGGGGAGGGGAGGGGAGGGGAGGGGAGAAGAGAGATGGCAGCTGTTTTGGAGCTGTTAGCAGGTGTTTTGGAGCCATTGTCCTGGTTCTGATTTGAGCTTTTCAGAAAAGCCATCGCATTAATTCTTATTTATTTCCATTCTCTTGTGTTAGAACTCATAAATTTCATGTAAAATATGAGATTGGTTAAGAGAGGCAAATAATTGTAATGTGCATTGTAGGATTTACATAGGAATTATGGAGATTTAATGACAATCAGAATTCTTTGAATAAGTGATAGTTTTAAAATGTGCAGGATTTTTTTTGAAACAAAGTCTCGCTCTGACACCCAGGCTGGAGTGCAGTGGCGTGATCTCGGCACACTGCAACTTCTGTCTCCTGGGTTCAAGCGATTCTCCTGCCTCAGCCTCCCGAGTAGCTGGGACTACAGGCTCCTGTTGCCACGCCCGGTTAATTTTTTTGTATTTTTAGTAGACGGGGTTTCACCATGTTGGCCAGGATGGTCTCATCTCTGGACCTTGTGATCCGCCCGCCTCGGCCTCCCAAAGTGCTGGGATTACAGGTGTGAGCCACCATGCCTGGCCAAATGTGCAGGATTTTAACATGACAAGGTGATACTTCATATATTGATGTACAAGGAACTTCTGTTCTGTAATAATTACGGCAAATAAGGTAGCAAGATGTGCACCTCAGAAGACATTTTCCAAGTTCAGGTTTACAGTATTATGAAAGTAAAATAACACTTTTAATAGCTTTCAGGTGTAGGACATGAATTAATGTGACACTCCTTAATATTTTCAAATCCCCCTAAAGAAAAAAGAAAATAGCTTCTTTTTTCTTTTCTTTTTTTTTCTTTTTTCTTTTTTTTTTTTTTTTTGAGACGGAGTTTCGCTGGTGTTACCCAGGCTGGAGTGTAATGGCTCGATCTTGACTCACTGCAACCTCCACCTCCCGGGTTCAAGCGATTCTCCTGAGTAGCTGGGATTACAGGTATGTGGTCTCGAACTCCTGATCTCAGGTGATCCACCTGCCTCGGCTTCCCAAAGTGCTGGAGTTAGAGGCATGAGCACCACGCCCAGCCAAGAGCTTCTTTTTTACCTTGGCCTTTGTGTTTATCTCAGTCGTAAGAATGGTTCTCTGGAAGATTTTGGTTTTTCCCATCACCTTTCTAACGTATTTTCCTTTTTCTAAAGGAAAAAGTAAAAGTGTGTTCATTATTAGGAATGTGGTATTACATGAGTTTGGCCAAATTAACACCTGGATATTTTACATATAGATTTCAAACCTCTGTAAGTCTATCCTTTGTCTTGAAATTTGTCATGCTTGACTTCATCCTGAAGGGATGGACTAAGTTAGTCTGAGGAATTCCAGAAGGCAGTCTCCATTTTAGATGTTTAAGGCATTTTTAAAAAATAAACATACACATGTAGTTGTAGACTGCTTTAGGTAATTTTCAGTGTTTTAGGGTAGGCTTTTAAAATAAGATCACTTAAAATAAGTAGTATTCAGAAATTTCTTTACCATTTACACAGTATAAAAATTCTGCTTGTGCTTTGTTGTTTTTTTTTTTTAAACAAAGCACATTATGCTTATATCTGATCAAGTCTTTCTCAGATTTTTTTATTTATTGAGCCTTTTTATTACAAATACTTTTGAATATGTAGAAAGCATATTACAGTGAATTCTGGAGAAATCATGGACTGCTGTCTAATACATTACAGACTAGGTGTTCTTGGTTCTCAGCTGAGAGACTACATCAGGGCACCAGCTTGGTCCCGAGACCTTCAGGATAAGGATGGAGGAAATATAGAAGCAGTTCCATTTGTGTATTAACTGTTGGGTTTTGGTGGTGTGATTTGGTGGAGATGCATGAAGTGTGGTAGGGTGATATATACAAAGTGAAATGTGATAGCGTGAAGGATGTAGAGTACCTAACAAACTCCTCACGTTTAATAAACCTGAGTTTTTTTCCCTCTGTCATATTTCTAATACGCAAGTTACTTTAGATTCCCAAAGAATCTTCAGATATCACCAAGGGAAATGTTAAACAAGGGCTTAATAGAATCTAATCACAGTTAGCTAACAGGATTAAGGAGTGCAGTTATGCAGATTTTGAGAAATTCATAAGTCAATAATTACTCTGTTTTTTCTGATTAGGAAATTAAGATGGAATCATCATAGAAAAATGGAAGATACAGATAAGCGTAAACGGGCAGAAACACATCATCTCTTCACCCTGTAGCAATCGCTAATTGGTATCTTGGAATATTGACTGTGTCATTTGCCTACAATTCTGTGCATTTAATAATGCTACGACAGTACTATTATGTATTACATACTTACTGCGCCAGACATTGTGCTATGCACTTGATAAGGATTATGTCATTGAAGTCTCATAATCGCCTGAGTTGGCTCCTGTTATTATCCCCTTTAGACAGATGACAAAACTGAGACTTAGAGAGTTTAAAGAGGCTTGCTCAAGGATGGGACTCACTGAAACTTAAGAGCCTGGACTCTGCATCGTTGCACCACTCTGACCGTCCAGCTGAGACAGATGATGTGATATATAAATTCGTGTTTGAATTTTTTT